TTTCGAATCTCCGATCTAAGACTGACCAGCTTCTTGTTCCACCAGGGCTTGTTACTTTTTTGTATACCCTTACTTGTGGGGTAACTAGATTCATATCAGAGCTGCAACAAGTCAGTTTTAAAAAGACTTAAGACTTAAGCAAATTCTAAAATCAAAATGATTTAAGTCTTATCTTTTCTAAAAAGACTTAAATCTTTTAAAGATTTGAATATTTTTTAATGACTTAAAATCTCTTCCAAAAAGATTTAAATCTTTTAAAAGACAAATCTTTTTCTAATGACTTAAATCTTTTTTTATTTCGGAATAAAGACTTAAGTCACAAGTCATTTTGAAAATGACTTAAAGTTTAAGTCAGCTTTCAAAATATGACTTAAAATCAAATATTTAAGTCAAAAAAAGACTTAAGTTTTCTGTGAGCATGTATCCAATATTGCACCACTGACTTCCACTGCGCAGTGGGGGACTAAGGGGGGCGGTCCGGCCCGGGCCCCGTCTTTTAGGGAGCCTCCGAATCTTAATAAGTAATTTTTTATTCAACTGACCAACAAGGCCAATATGTGTTCAATAGTTATAAAGCAGTTTGTAGGTGGAGTATGCAAACCATACGTATACGCCAACTATAAACAGTATAAATGGAAGCAGATATTTACTGAATTATCAATTATCAGGCCCCAGTAATTGTCAATGGCATTTTCTATTTAGGTAATTAAATCAAGGGGTAATTTTCTTTGTTTAAAATATCGAATAATTATTATATTTTATATATTTTGAGACTGAATTTATTTATTTTAGATTTAAGTTATTTTTTCAATGGTTTCATTATTTATTTTTACTGAATAAACATTTTAAATTACAACCAATGCACAGCATAACTTGTATTCTAGCTACATTACTGATGATGAGCAGTGAAGTCTTTAGTATAACGGGGGCCACGGGCCTGAGACAGCGAAGGGCCCCTCGGATCTTGGAGAACTTACAAAATCGCGATATTTTGTCGCGGTATTTCCCTGGAAGCATTTTTAAGAAAAAAATATTTAAAATTTTTGGACGAAAAAAATTACCTGTCAAAAAAATTTGTACAGCCTAAAAGTCAAATTTAGTGATTATCACAGCCCCTGTGAGTCCTGTGACATAAAGAAAAGACATGTGATCTATTTCAAAAAATAAATTGTTCAAATGTCATATAATAATGGCGGTAGCTGTCATGGAATTGAGCGATTAAAAAATTATCATAAATATTTTTTTTTTCAAGTGGAAACCCACTTTTTTTATTTCACTAGTGAAAAGGTTTTCCAATTCGCTACGTTTTAACTAGACATATTCCTATACCTAAAATAAATCGTTTTTAAGTTATTTAACATTTAGTTTGAAAACGTATATTTATCTTGATTTTATCTAGCTTCCTTTGACATTAAGTGTCAAACAGTCAGACAATTTATTTCCATCTGTCAGAAAATGAATTATTTGAATTTCCTATATTATAACTACTGCTGCGTTAAAAGTTTAAAAAGTGTATTTATATAAATATATCTCGTATTTTCGTCCTTTAGTGATATCTAATAGTTGATATTTTAATCATACCCTACAATCGAAAAAAAACAGCGCAAAGTTAGCTTGGAAATGATGATCGATAATATACTGTCATAGGCTACTGGTTAAAATCAAGAAAAATATACGCTTTAAAGCTAAATCTTAGATAACTTAAAAACGATTTATTTTAGGTATAGGAACATGTATAGTCAAAAAGTAACAAATTTTAAAAACGAAAGTAACCAAAGCCTTTCGCGAGTTCACGAGTGAAATAAAAAAAGTGGATTTCCATTTGAAAAAAAAAATGATTTAGGATAATTTTTTAATCGTTCAATTCCATGACAGCTGCGGCCATTATTATATGACATTTGGACAATTTAATTTTTGACATAGATAGTCACGTCTTCTCTTTATGGTACAGTGGCTGTGGCAATCCCTAAATTTGACGTTTAGGCTATATACATATTTTTGACAGGCAGTTTTTTTCTTCCAAAAATTATAAATATTTTTTTTTCTCAAAAACGGTTAACGTTAGGTACAGAGTGTTTAATATCAAAATTCATAAAATTTTACAGAGAATTTAAGTATGTAATAAAAAATGGGGTCACCCGTTTGAAATAAGAAAGTTGCTGCCAACTTCCGGTACTTCCGAAAGTGCCGCCATATTGAAAATATTTTTAATCGATAGATCTCATTGTGATACAATGATATGCACAACATCTCATATCTAGATATTGTAGTTCTCTAGAAACTTCTAACGCAGGCTCAGCCTGGGACACCCTGTATAAATACTTGAATTTTGTCAACCATTATACATACGTCATTCAATTCCTACAAAATGTGCATTAGAAGTATATCATTATCTAAACAGACCGGGGGCCACATTTAGCTTCGCCGCCCCGGGCCCCCGACAGGCTTAGTCCGCCACTGACCCTGCGTACCATTCTAGATATAGGTGATTTCTAGCCGTACCTGCATCTATTTGGTTTATGTTGTCTACGAGATTGGTGTGGTATAGGTCCCAATCTGTTGTTCTTGGATTCCTTCGACACACGTTCACATCTTACATATTAAAACACTCAGTGTTGTGTGGTGTGACCTTAATTGTGTATTTGTCTGATGATGCTCGTATGAGCGAAACACGTGTCAGTGTCTGTTTTTAACTTATAAGGCTCCGCGCGCACTGCATCGGATCGGACCGACCAGCAAAAGCGACTGCGACCATCGTACATATAGACGGCGCCGGCGTCCACTAAAACATTTCGGCCTGTAGAGGAGGCCAGATTCCTACCTCTACCTTCTCGCCGGACTGGTACCGATTCAGTGCGCGTACACCTTAAACGGTATCTTTGAGAATAATGGACGCCTTTTTTAAATCTTATCGTTAATTCTTTGTTTTTTTTGCTAGGACAGCACCTTTTTACAAACGTAGTTGAATAATAGCTGTCATATTTCCAAACTAACTTGGCGCCGTTTTTAACGATCTTCAATATACAGGGTGAGTTTCCTACGATGTTCTCTATGGGTATCTCGGAAACTAATGGAGATAGAGAGTCGGTTAAATGGGGAAAGAATTGCAGTTTTGTGGGGTCATAAATATGCGCCTTTCAGATTTTTGAAAAAGTTCATGGCTTACTAGATATTTTGAAAAAAACAAATTTCGGCTATTTTAATAATTGTCCCTAATTCCATTATAAGCTATTTTAGACAAAAAGTTTTCAGATAAAAGTTGTAGATAATCACATTCTTAATGAGACTGTGTCCTCTGCTTTTTTCTAAAGCCTGTCATTTTTGACATATGACACAAACATAGGTTTTTTTAAATGGAAACCATAGTTGGCCATGGCTTCATAAAAAGCGCTATTTTTTAAGCTTTTCAGCGATATAAGCTATAATATGCTTTCTTCGAAAAATTACTGAGTTATAGCCAATTCTTCTCATTTTTAAACAATTTCACTTAGTTAGCCATGGAAACAAGTTTAATCGTCTTTGTTCTCATAAATGTGAAGCTGTCACATCCAAAGTTTGCAAATTAAAATAAATACAAATTGTAAATATGAATTTTTCAAATGAAGAAAAGCGTGTAGGATTATTGGTTCAACTTTTCTTGACCATACATTTTCGAGGATACGTTGACCGGTGAATGTTACGTTTTTTAGAGAACGGCTTTCAAGACAAGTTAGAAAAGTTAAATTTAGTTATAGCCAGTTCTTATCTTTCTTGGCTAATTTCACTTAGATTGCATGGTATTCTTATTCTGTTATGATTTATAACTTATAAAAAGTCAGAATATATTACTAAACGGTTCTTGACAATTTACATTACACAAACTAAAACTTAAAAAAATAATATTACTACATACACTTTAAGTTATTTTAAAAAGTGTTCAAAAAATGCGCCATTGTTTTGAGTTGCATGTTTTTAAAACTAAATTATTACCCATTCTCACAGAAGGACCGGTCGACCTAATCAAACTTCTCTCGTACCGCCACTTCGAGTGCCTCTCTTAATTCATAAGTTCCTTTGTAAACCTTATTGTTAAATATACCGCATAAAAAATTCTAAAATGGATAGGTCAGGTGATCGAGGAGGCCCAATTAGTCCACCTCTCTCTATCCCTGCGTTTGTATAATTATGATATACATAAATAATTTTTAACATTTATTTTATTATGGGGGGTGGGGGGTGGTGTGTCATAATGAAAGTCATGTTGGAACCACTCTGTTGATGCGCGAGTATCTACACGCGTTTCTTCATTTTAAAAATTCATATTTACAATTTTCGTTTATTTTAATTTGCAAAGTTTGGATGTGACAGCTTCACATTTCTGAGAGCAATGGCGATTGAACTTGTTTCCATCATAAAATAATAAATACAAGAGTTTCCATGGCTAAGTGAAATTGTCTCAAATTATAAGAATTGGCTATAACTCAGTAATTTTTCGAAGAAGAGATATTATAGCTTATATCACTAAAAAGCTTAAAAAATGGCGCTTTTTATGAAGTCATGGCCAACTATGGTTTCCATTTAAAAAAACCTATGTTTGTGTCATATGCCAGAAATGAGAGGCTTTAGAAAAAACGGAGAGCACAGTCTCATTAAGGATGTGATTATCTACAACTTTTATCTGAAAACTTTTTGTCTAAAATAGCTTATAATGGAATTAGGGACAATTTTTAAAATAGCCGAAATTTGTTTTTTTCGAAATATCTAGCAAGCCATGAACTTTTTCAAAAATCTGAAAGGCGCATATTTATGACCCCACAAAACTGCAATTCTTTCCCCATTTAACCGACTTTCTATCTCCAGTAGTTTCCGAGATACCCATATAGAACATCGTAGGAAACTCACCCTGTATATAAAAAACAAAATTGCTCAAATAAATAAAAAAAAATGAAAAATCCTATTATGTAAAAATTATAAAAAAAAATATTTTTCATGAATTTGGTATTTGGAAAATAAACAACCTCTTACAATAAAGAACCATTTAATCTATGATAATACGTCTATAGATATCTTTATTACAACAGACCAATAAATACATATTTAACTATGGATATACAAAAACATAATGATATTTAAATTTATTTCACAAAATTAAGTACATAAAATTACATAAAATATTGGTACGGATTTATTTAACAATATAATTTTATCAAGGGTAAGTAATAAAATTTTAATATTTTAAGTTGGAACTAATTAACAAATATACTACATAATTGTTAATGATCTAAATATAATAATTAAGTTGAGTCTTTTCCATATATAAGTTTATACGATACATAATCTGTCATTATTAGCTGCTTCTATAAGTAGATATTTATTAATTTTCACTTGCATTTTGTTTGTTACGCTGCAGCTTAAAATGCTGATCATGCTTAATCTATATGTATCTTGACTCCACTTGTTTTGCGCTATGTACAAAATCGTACATAACTTTATATGACAGTTATTAAAAAGGTACGCATACGAGTATATATAGTTTGCCATATATCTTTGGACTTCTGTAGTTTCATTGTTGCAAAGTTATAATGCAATAGACATTTTTTCTTGATTTAATTTTCAAAATTTTGCTTTGAAACCTGATTTATTTTATTTTTTTAATTTCTAAATTGCGGCCGTAAATATGACCGAGAACAGCAGTATTTCATCTAAAGGAAAGCCATAACCAATTAATGAGAAATTTACATATAACTCCCAAAATCCTTAACCAAACACAATTACCCATAAAGAATATATAATTATAATAATAAGTTAATTTTTGGCACATAATTTAGTTTACAAAATATATAAATTACATAGTGCTATTTGCAGAAATAGGTTTAATTTTTTAACAAAAAAGTAAGTTTTACAAAAAATAATATCCTAAAAATTACTCATTACTCTCTCATCTGCATTTCTTTCCAAAACATAGAAATCATTCTTCTTTATTCTGTATGTTCACTTTAGTACCATATGCCGATCCATGTTTTGTTTCAGACATAGAAATTGTTTGTTTTAGAAGCATATAAACTGAAAATAAAAGATGAAGTTATGTTGACTAAAGTCCAACAATACCTACAAAAATTACTGTGATCTTTAAATATTTATTCCGAGATAGAAAAAATCGTAAGTTTTAAGTAAAGGCTGAAATAGTAAAGTTTTAAGTCTTCTTAGAAAAGATTTAAGTAAAACTTCTTATATATTTTTAAGGAATTTTCAACTGGCGGCATTACTTTTTGAACTGCCACTCCAGCAGACAAATTATTTTAAATGAAACACCACATCCATATTTTAGCATGACACACAAGAGAACAAATAATACTTTATCTAAAAGTATGTATTTATCGATGATATACATACAGTGCCACAGATATATATGCGACTTTTTTTATTTATTGATTTTAGTGATGGGATAACTCGAGCAAAAATTCGGTCGGGTACTCGATTATTGGAATAACCGACATCGCTTGATTATGAACGAGCGACGAAAGCAAGCGATTCTAGAATGAAATAAATTGAAATCCGATTTAATGTGACATACTCGATAAAAACCTGAACGAATTTTCTACATACATTCAGTAACAGTTTAGCAGTCGTACGATAAGGTTGTGTTACCGTTCGTGCGTTTTGTCTGCCGGTTATTGAACGTTTGTTTTGTTTTGATTTGACTTGTTTTGATTTGTTTTTGTTTCTGACCCGAAATCAACTCTAAGTTCACTGTTCGTTTAAACTTGACTTTGTTTACTTGTGTTAGTTTTTTGCAACATTAATTGATAATTTTTCGGCGTACTTGTTTCCGCTGTGCGTGAGTTTTAGCTTGTTTATACTTTCGAATTTTATTCAGCTGTCATCGACTTTTATTAATATTATTAATCATTTACATTATTATGGCTGAATTTATACGATTCTTGTCAAAAAATCCTAAAGGACAGTTATAAGGTTCGCTGTAGTGGAGAGTGTCGAAGAAGTTTTTGTATGACCTGTACAGGACTGGATAAGGCAACAACAAAGGTGCTATGTCAACAAAAGTACCACAATGTTAGATTTTTCTGCACTGTCTGCGATTCCCCTACATTAAAATATGTTCATGATAGAATTACACAGCTTCAAGAATGCCAGGTCCAACCAGAAATCATCAAAGCACTAGGATTCTGTTAATAAATATAATATGTATAAATAAAAAATATGGACATTTTTCCAGTCATAACTGAAATGTATGACATGCTGAGTGACCACGATTCCAAGTGGAAAATTTTACTCAAGAAAATTGATGACATATCCAGGATATCAGATACCACACAAGAATCCTTATTTAAGTCAATAAATGAGATAAAGCAAGACACCTTCAATTTATCATCAATTTTAATGGACAACCATGATGGGTCTGTTAAAGTCCAAGTTCATGACCTATTTAAGGAAGAAATGGCGAAGGAAATGGCTGACCTTAGGCAGAGCGTTAAACAAATGTCGCTCACATTGGAAAAGCTTGTTACAAGGGGATAAGACCTGTACCAATCATAATATGCAGAGGAAAAAATCCATTTCAACGCAGACGGGCCCTATAGATCACCAAAATAGTACAGATTTTATAGATTTGCCAAAAAAATAGTTTCACCCGAAACAGTGTCATCGCAACCTCCTAAGGCCGCCATAAGAGAAGACTGGAATTATGTGGTGGTGTCCAGAATTCCACCTCCTTACACAGCGAATCAACTTGCGCATTATGTTAAAGAAAAACTAGGAACCACCGATTTCATCATTCAACCTCAACATCCTTAAACCAAGCTTCGTTAACTTCTTCGGCTGAACCTGCTCAAAATCTCAAAATAAACATCATTGGGAATTGCACTCCTTCCAACGCTATCTAAGATCATAGAAAGGTTGGTTAAAAGAAGGCTGGTATCTTTTCTGTTTAAGTACAAAATACTTACTGAATATCAATTTGGATTTCTAAGCAACAAGTCCACAAATGACGCTACGTTTTCCCTCCTTAATAAAGTTTACTCCAGCCTAAACAACCATCATTCTACAGCAACAATTTTCTGTGATTTTTCTAAGGCGTTCGATTGTGTAAATCATAAGATCTTAATTAATAAACTGCAGCACTATGGGTTCAGGGATCATCTCTCTCGAATGGTTTAAGTCGTATCTGAGCAACAGAAGTCAACTTGTGAGGGTGGATACCACGTTGTCTTCTAGCAAGCCAATAGAATGCGGAGTACCACAAGGCTCAGTACTAGGCCCTATTTTGTTTCTTCTTTTTATTAACGACATTGCTAACATAAACATCAGTGGCAAAATATGTCTTTTTGCGGACGACACTAGCTTCACTTGGAGCAACAAGGACATCACGGCACTTCATAGGATTATATCAAATGACTTAATCACCATTAAATCTTGGTGCGATTCGAACCTCCTGAGTCTCAACATTTCTAAAACTAAAGCTTTTGTCGTATAAAAACTCGTTGCAGCCTTTTGTACTTAACAACACCACCATTGACGTCGTCAAATCTGTAAAGATCTTGGGGCTTGTTGTGGACAATTCTCTGAAATGGGACATACATATCGAAGCTTTGTCAGAAAAAATTGAGCTCTGCCTGTTTTGCATTAAGGTCTGTTTCTAAGGAGCTTAACTTGTCAGTGGCTAGAACTGTTTATTATGCACTTTTTGAGTCGCACCTCAGGTATGCCCTTCCATACTGGGGTACGTGTTGTGGGACTCAATTTGACCGCATTTTCAGGCTCAGAAGAGAGCTGTTCGATATTCACTGGGAACACAGAACACTAAACAGCAGAACTCATTGCCGGGACTTTTTAAAAAATTAAAAATATTGACTCTTCCTTCCTTATTTATATTTGAATCCGTTTGCCTAATACGTAAACATGTATCAGGTTCTCAAGAAAGGCCATCTCACACTTATCCACTCAGGAACGCGGAGCAAGATCTTTATCTACCTACCCCACGCTCAGAGTTAGTTAAAAGTTCAATATTATACAACTCGAAAAAATGCACAATCACCTGCCATTTGAAATCAAATCCATAACATCATTTTTTTTCATTTCGCAAAGCATTGAACTCTTATTTACTAGACAAGGCTTTCTACGCCGTAAATGAAGTATATTTTGAAAATCAAATTTGATCTTGTAAACACTGGTCTAATGTTTGCTATTGCTATATTTACTAATGACATCGAAATGAATTTATTTAGAGGTCATTGATATTTTACTATAAACTAGCTAAATATTTTTGAATATTATTTTTATTTTTTTGTTCTTTGACATTATAAACATTTATAAATGTTTATTTTAACAATAAGACTGACAATATTATTTGTATAATGTTTTGTATTATCTTTTGTTTGTTTGTCTGTGTACCTCGTTTTTTTACTTTGTTTGTTAGTTTACCTTTGTCTACAAATTGAAAAATTTTTTGACAATAAAGGCATTTATTTATTTATTTATTTATTTATTGCAGTAGCAAATTTATACGACATTATCCGTTGCGTATCTGAGTGACAAAATTTATACGACCTACATCGACAATGCTTTGAAATAAACTAAATCAAACGAATTAATCATCGCTCGTCACTTGCTACTTGCCATTCATCACCAAAAGAATATGTGCTCTGCGCACGCAACATTCTGCTTGGCGTTACGAGTACAACAAGCGACAGGCAAAAAACCGTATTTTTAAATGCGAGTGATATTTTGCTCGAACGATCGCTCGATTATTGAAATCGTTTGAAACTCGAGTGCTCGATTATTGAAATTAATCGGTTTTTCCCATCACAAATTGATTTAGATGATATTTGACTTGGGTAAATGTGCCCATATATCTTCAGTCATATATTTTTAAATACTTAATTTTTTTAAAAATTGGTAACAAAGAACAAGAATCAAGTCAATTTTCTAAAGTTAGAAAATGTTAATTTTCCCTTACAAAGAACCCTTTTTAAATTATAATTTATTGAAACTGTGTTGAAAATTGCATTACAAATTGCTTAAGATAATAGTTAATTCTCTTTGATATCCATATTTTTGAAATATGTTTGGTCAATTTCTTTACAAATATTTCTTATTAAACTTTAATAAAATCGACCCTTATCACACATAATAGATTTTCCAAAAACTTGTCGATATACGGGTGTGGTTTTCACATTTTTATATTTGCAAACTCTTTTTTACAAGATATATTATTGCTAATTGCTCAATGGTTGCTACCACAATTTTAGGACATTAATTTGATTGTCTGGATATTATTTTATTGATCTGGTGCTGTAGTTTAAATTAATTAATGCTTTAAGTCTACATTTGAATGCTATTCACGCGATAATATTAGTAAATTATTCAGTTTCACGTGATAAAAATAAAATGTTATTTTTTAATAATATTGTGTATTAAAAAAAACGTATAAAAAGTCTCGCGGTCTCAACGTTTATATTAAGTTAAATAGTGACACGTGTTTCGCTCATACAAGCATCATCAGTAAAATTTTAAATTTTGTATTTTTTTTGCTAATTGCGCCCCCTCGTGCGTCTAGTACTGGACTATCGGCTACAACCTGTCACTTCCATAAAAGTTTCCTAGGCATGGATAATGCTCGTATGAGCGAAACATGTCAAACGTCAATTCTTGACACGCGTCAAGAATGGAGGCCTTCTTTAAATATTGTGCATGCCTTTTTTCATCTTTATTCTGATAAAACTATTATTTATGCAAAACAAATCAATTGGGACGACACAAATCGTTTACTCTGCCCTGTATATGAAGGTTATGATACAGAGTACATGTTATAAACATAAGATTTAAAGTATATAGTTTTTTCTATGTATACTTACATGTTAAAATAAGTCCCACGCCAATAAAGAAATAAAGAAGCTGACCACTAAAGAACAGCGTTACAAGGTAGTAAAGCATTGGTACCAAAATGCTAAAAAGCCAAAATACCATATTAACTGCGGGCCAAATCCGTCTTTCAGGTATCCATGGCTCTACAGGTGTTACTCCTGAATTAGTGAAAAAATTTCCAGACTTAATGAAACTTTCTTTCATTTTGTCCTAAAAATTGAAATTGTTTAAAACAAATAAGTCATGACAAAGTAAATTAAAAGTTTAAAAAATATACATACTTTTCTTAAAAACATATCTCTTAAAAATTGTTCTTGTTCGGGGACTCCTTCCGGCACTTCATCTAATGGAACTCTTTTAATATACATATGTGCAGTGACAGTTCTACCAAACAGCATATTAGTCATGGTAGGAGATACAGGGTCGCTTTCGCTAAAAACCACTAGTGTATCGTAAATAGCGGGAACTTTGCCTCTCATTGATGGCAAGCTAGCAGTGAAGCCTTTTGTTCTTGGCAAAAGATGATATTTCAATTCTGTGAGGTTATTTTTTCGAGCAAATTCTAAGGATATTTGGTGTTTTTTCTCTGTGAACCTCGTTCCCTCAGGAAAAAGTAGTAGCTAAAATAATTAATATAAACATTTATATTTTTTCTAATAAGTATTCTGTATACATATATCGTTTACAGGCCTTAGGAAGGGTAAAGTTTTTTTACTTGAAATCACTAAAAAAACAATAAAACATCCAGTATATAGAAGCCTCCCCAAACACAAAATCATAAAAATTTCATGCATCATTCTTTTTTCCGACCTTAGAATAACTAAAATAAGTTACAGGAAAACGTGTTCCTGCTTAACATTCTAAACACTTTTCTTGTGTAGTTATGAACTTAACCTAGTAGATACTGTAATTTAGACATCAATACCGTACCGAGAAAAAACGTAAATAAACAAAAACGAACCAACAAACCAAAACAAACCTAACCAAAGCAATCAAAATACGCTGTAAGCTAAAACGCGTCTGTTTACGAATTTCAATTGCCGAGTACTTTTCAACTCTTGCTATGTTTTATCAATATATGGTGTGCAAAGCTAGTTCGCCTCCCCGTGGTGCACCCTGGATAACGCTAAATGAACAAGCAATTATTGGCCGTTAGACTAATAACCTTCTTCTTACGACGCCGTCTCCTTTCGAAGGTTTGCGATCCAAATAGCTAACGTCATTCTAGATACAGCCATACGAAATATGTCGATTGATGAGCAACCAAACCATCTACGAATGTCCTTTAGCCAGGAATTCTGGCGTCTGCCGATAGATCTTTTGCCCTGCCTTCAATTATTAATCTGAGAAGTTCATACTTTTTCATTACGTTCATACCCCTCATTATGTGGCCTATGTAGCGTGTTTTTCTTTCTTTGATGGTAAGCATGAGTTCTTTCTGTTTTATCATTCGATTAAGAACCTCCACATTTGAAACTCTTTGGACCCATGATATTCTTAATATACGGCGGTAAATATACATTTCGAAGGCATCTAGTTTTTTTTTCTAACGATATGTCAAGAGTCCAACTCTCACACCCGTACAGGAGAACTGAAAAAATGTAGCATCTGACCATGCGTACCCGTAGCTCCAAACTCAAATCTGACCTTGTGAAAAATTGTCTCATATTTATAAATGTTTTTCTAGCCTGTTCTATGCGGCTTCTAATTTTTTTCTTCGGGTCGCATTGATCATTTACAATACACCCCAAATACTTGTATGAAGACACTTGCTCTACTGGGTCACCGTTGATATCCAGATGAATCTGCACAGGTGTTTTGGTGAATGCACTAATAACCTAACCTAACCTAACCAAGAAGGTTCTCCTGACCATAAAGGTCGATTTATAGATTGAAAACGTTGCGGTTCGACGCTCGACGTTACGATCGGTAAAAAGTTCGTTTATACGCAGGATGTTTTGTTGATATTAAATTTTTCGGTTGTTGTTGCGGTTGACGTTTTACGTCAAAAGTTAACCAACTTTTAACTTCGACAGGAACGTTGACCTTGAAACGTTAGTAATAGCCAATAGAAATAATCGCAACCGCAACGTCGAACCGCACCGTTTTCAATCTATAAATCGACCTTTAGACACTTAAACAACCATCTAAATCAAAGTCAAAACCATAATGCTACCAAAATTAGAATTTAGAATTTTAGAATTTAGAATGAGTGGGAGGGGGGTTAATCACTTCGACCTTACAGATCCATTGTGTCCCCCTTTCTTGAATCATAACTCATCATACAGTCCCAGGGCTTTGACAAAAGCGAGTATCTGGGACGGTTTTATAGAGGGTAGTTCTCCATCTCCAATATCAGTCGTACCAAAATTCATGGCACGAATGGTTGTCGTCTCGGCGCACTCAGTGATGAGGTGTACTGGTGTTTCCCCATCTTTCCCACAGAATCTGCATTCGCCGTTTCTTCTTAGTTTCAATCTACTGAGGTGTCCATTGAGGAGACAGTGTCCTGTTAAAAACCCCGTGACAATCCGAAGATTGTTCTTACTCAGAAAGATCTGTGATTTTTCTTGATCATAAGCCCTCAGAAACTTCTTCGAGTGTCTTAGACCATTGCAAGATTTCCATTCCAGGTTGCGGATGGAATCTTCCAAGTTCTTGAGTTCCGCCTTGAGTTGGTTACCACTTGGAAAGCAGAATGGTTCTGGTCCAGTTAGTGGAGTGTTCGCTCCTTTCCTAGCTAGATTATTTGCTTTTTCATTGCCTTCTATCCCTTGGTGAGCAGGCACCCAGTGTAGGAGGACTTTGTTTTCTTTGCCTAATTTATTCAGCTTCTCTATGCATTCTTTGACCATACCAAAATTAAAAAACAGCTCTTCTAAGAGCTTGTTGACCAGAAACCTTGGACCCTGTGTCCGAGTTTGTCATATAAACATAGAGAGTATAAGTTACTCAAAAAGCCAATAATAATAATAATAATAATAATATAAGTTTATTTTGCAAAAAATAATATAATATACAATAGAATTTACTTGTAAACACATCTAAAAACTACAAAACAAACTGGGTGCGCGACCACTGAAATCTGCTTGATGCAGATTTGTACGTGGAATTTTATGCATGTGTACACAAACAAACGCACTAAAGCACATATAATATGTGTACACACACACACGCTTAAATAATCCTTATCACCTAACAAGAATATTGCATCTATACATCAATATCATAGACACATAATTCATTATAAATATAATAAACAGTAAACCAAATTTATTAAAAAAAAAACGAAAACTAACATGCGATAAATATACATCAACGAATTGACACACACTTAAACAATTTTAAATTTAATGTTTCGCTGTATCGCTCACACTGATATTCACAGTCATATTGTCGATAATGTCATGAAAAAACTGTCTTGGTTTGGTCGTAAGCCCCCATTTCCTAACTTTTCCTTTAAAACTATTTTTGTTATTACTACACTTTATATCATTTGTACCACCGTGTCGTCTGCGAAACTTATAATTTCTCCTTTAGTGGGCGTACTCATAAGACTATTTACGTAAATATTAAACAATAATGGCCCTAAAACCGTTCCCTGTGGAACCCCGTATTTTACAACATTTTTTTTTACTGCAAATATTCTCTATCTTTACCTGCTGTTTTCTATTTGATAAATAACTTTGAAGCAAATTATTTATACCACCCCGCAACCCATATTCTTTCATTTTATTTAACAGATGTTCATGGCAAACGGTATCAAATGCCTTTGATAGGTCGAGAAATATACATAACGCTGGCGTGTTTGAATCTAAATGTCGATGCAATTTTGTAACCAGACTGAGAATTGCATCTTCCGTTGACTTTTTCTCTCTGAATCCGTACTGACAACTAGACAATATATTAAATTTATCAAGAAAATTACCGTCTCTAGATTTAATTATTTTTTCAACGACCTTTGAAATGTTTGAAATAAGAGAAATCGGTCTATAATTATTAATATCTAGTTTGTCTCCGCTTTTATATATTGGTGTAATAATTCCAAGTTTCAGACAATCCGGGAATATACCGAAGTCAAAATACTGGTTTATTAAAAAACACAATGGGTCAGTTACTTTTTCGGAGATACGTTTAAGCATTTCTACCGTTATTTGGTCATATCCTGGAGCCTTTCTATTTTTTAGCTGTTGTATACATATTTTAATTTCATTTTTGGTACATGGAAATAGATACATGCCGTTTTTTATTGTACTGAGATTTTCTTTAAAGTTAATCGGTTTTTCTCTACGAGCAGCATATTTTTCACCCAGTTCGGAATAATAATCGTTGAAGATATTACAAATATCCGCCTTATCAGTAACCATCACATTGTCATCGGTTCTAATTGTTTCAATTTTTATTTTCGCTTTTTTTTTTGTTTGAAATCTTTTGTATGCTTTCCCAGAGCAATTTAGAACAGTTCTTGTTGTTTTCTATTAGACTAGAAAAATAATTTTGTTTCGATTTTTTTTATCTAATTGGTTTTTTAATGTCTTATATTTTTTTTGAAGAGCGTTGTCTTTAGTAGCATATTTTAATTGCTTATATATTTAATTTTTTTCATCAATTAAAGGCAGTAGTTCGGGGCCTAGTCATGGTTTATGTTTTTTTAGATGTCCTATTTTTTGTTTTACTTTATGTGTATTTTTTTCTAAATAATATTGTAGTCTATTTACGAAAATCATTGTTTTATTTTCAATGCTATTCTGTTCATACATGTCTAACCAATTCTCAGCCTTCAAGTCTTTATGCAAGGTGTCATAATTTATATATTTTTTTATAATTGATTTTTGCTCTTCATATTCAAACAGTTTATCGTTATTCAGTGTTATAGTAACAGGTAAATTATCGGTAATTCCATAATCAATTGTCCATGAAGAGAAAACATCATTACTCAAAGCGCTTCTCACAAATATATGATCAAGGCAGCTATTGCTTGTAGGTCTAGTAACAGAATTAATATATGATATACCGTATGATCGAAAAAAAACGGCGTCCAGTTGGCTGGGAAATGAACATCAATGACATTTCCCATATAAATTTACATATAAAATGACAGCGATCTTCATTCCATAGCCATCGCTGACGCCGTTTTTTCTCGATCATACGGTATAACCGAATGTTGATAGAATATTTTTGTATTCGTCGACCAGGTCATCGTCTGAGAGCAAATCAATGTTTATATCACCCACTATGATGTTTGTATTGCTCATTTTTTTATTTCGAAGATATTTAAGTAAATCCATATTAAATTCAGTTATAGTAAGTTAAGTAAATCCATATTAAATTCAGTATATAATATTTATCTAAACTCTTAAAGAATAGCAATATTGATCTAGTTGCCATTCAGGAAACACATTGCCAATCAGAACAACTGCAAAAAAGGGGCAAAATACCCAACTACGACCTATTCGGAGCAACCTATCACCAATAGCAGGTAAACCGGTAGACTCGCCTAAAAGCTATAGACCCATAGCACTGCTATCTGTGAGTTACAAACTGCTCGAACGCATCATATATAATCGAATAAGCCAAAAAATCTTTGACGAAATCCCAATAGAACAGGCTGGTTTCAGAC